TTAATTAAAAACTTTTAGGTTGAAGCTTTCCTTGTTCAGTGCTAGAATGTGCACCTTCATTTAACTGGAAATATCACGTCTAAGTAGGTTTGTTAAAGAAAGTCTGCACTAGAGATGAATATAGAAGCTTACATATTTTCATGTGTGAAACAAGAGCAAATCAGAAAAAACTTCAGCTCTAGAGCTGAAGTTCGCCAGTTATAAAACAAAAACTTCAGCTCTAGAGCTGAAGTTCGCCGGTTACAAAAACAAAAACTTCAGAAATTACAAACAAAAACTTCAGCAAATAGAGAACAAAACTTCAGCAAATAGAGAACAAAACTTCAGCTACTATGCTTAAGTTCAGCAATTACAGACAAAAACTTCAGCACACTTGCTACGTCAGTCCCGTCTACTCGAATGCTGAAGTTTTGCATGATTGTCTTTGCTACTTCAGCCTCACATGCTGAAGTTACGTGAAAAAGTGGATACACTTGCAATTTTTTTTTGCAAAGCGGACACAAATTAAAACTTGACCCAAAAAGCGGGTATAGATGCAAATACATCTCCTACAGAAATGGCCCAACAAAGATTGATGCTCCGTATCACGAGTTTTTTCATTCTCGAAATACGAATCCGAGACCTTTATAATTATAACTTATAAGTAATACCCTCTAACAAATTTCACTCTCAAAATTCTAACATGTAACCTCTCAAGTTATAACTTATAAGTAATAGCCTCTAACAAATATTCGGTCCTGACTCTTACTCTTTGTTCTTCTCTTCTTTTTATTCTTTTTCCTTCTGAATGGTCTTTGCAAATTCCAATATCTAAAGGTTAGAGTTCTCATAGTTTTATGAACTTTGGGGTCGTTTGGTTCAAAATCAAATTATATATAAATTAATTGTGCAGGGATTAATAATATAAGAAATAATAATACAAGGAATTATATTTAAGTTATTCATGTATAACTAAAATATTGTATTGTTATACCACCTTGGTCTTGGTAAAAAAATAGTACATCAATTGGTGTATTATATTATGCCAAGATTAGTTATACATCATTGAAAAGACAAACCAAACATTGGATACAACAGTACCAAATCTTATACGATGATTGTTTCAAAAATCCACCCAACCAAACAAGCCCTTAGTTTTTTCAGATAGTGATTGGAGAGTAAGAATAATTCAACTGGGCAACAATCGGTCAAAAAGGCAACTAAACTCCGAACTCATAACACTATGGTCAAATTTTAGTCTCCTGGAGGCCATCTCGTTGGAGATATTACACTATCTAAATTGGGGAAAAAAAAAAAAAAAAAAAAGTTTGACTCTTTGAGCAAAATGGGCAACCAAATGCAAATATTAGAGTAGTTTGGTTAGGATGGAATAGACAAAGATGGCACGGAATTAGTTATTTTACCTTCTATATAGGATAACTAATCCTATTATTTTAGTACAAAATAAGTTATCGAGACTAACTAATACTTATAACGAAACACAAATTATCCCTTATTCCATCGACCAAACCATCCCCGGGTTTCAGCATAAATGTACTGAAATCCCAACTTAGGTTTATTCTTGGTCAGCGCCAACTTCAACAGAGTTGAAAGAGAAAATCATAGTACTAGCACTTAAGGTTAATAACATCTAGAAGTTCTTTAGTAATCTTTGAATTTTCATCCCTTTTGCCAGTGAGCAATAAACCAAAAAAAAAAAAAAAAACTTCTGGATTGCCCAACTGGTTTGGACGGTGATCATCCGTGCGGATGACCTGAGATCGAATTCCCCTTCAATGCGTTCTGGGTTGAGTCTGTCGCATATGACTTGCCTGATGCGATTTACATCCCCTGTGTGATTTGCAAGCTATTATACAGGGGGAGGTTTACCCAGTGTACTACAAAGTGTTCACCACAGAATGCTCACCCGAAGGGCAGAGGTAGTAGCGGCGGCAAATTTCCCCTCCTACCAACAAAAAAAATAAAAGATAAAAATAAAAACTGCATGTATAAGAGAAATTATATATGTGGCACTCATCTCATCTACTGATCTGCCCAATAGACATTAAGGACGCGGAATGAAAGTTTTGAATATATATTCTTGTAATATTTCTTTGTCTCCCAAAAAATCACAATTTTCAAATTTTCAATATATGAACTAAAAGACAATTACTTTTATAATGGTGATAGTCAGATTAGCTTGTGCAAACCTCGATTAATTTTACTTCACATCAATATAAATATTAAGTAACTTTATCCACTCAAGTCTTGACAAATAAGAAGAAATCACAATATTTTTGTCTGTGATAATATTTGAGCCCGAGACCTTATGATTATTAACCTATGTTATAACTATTAGACCATGTCATTGGGTGAACAGTTTTTTGATTATCGAAAACTTAATCATTAACGTCAAAATGGCCAAATCATCTAGAGATAGAAATGGACCCCATTTTTGTGGTTTGAATTGGTCAGACAATGGACTTTTTTAATAATTTCTAGAATTTCAGCGTTAAGCAAACAATGCCTCGTGCAAATGTGATGTATGAGAGAGAAATGGAGAATTGAGTCAGATTCCAAACACATTAAAAAAATATTAAGTCGTTTTAGTAAACGCATAATAACCCGTTTGACAAAGCTGCAAAAATTAGCTTATTTTGAGAAATATTTTTTTCAAAAGTACTTTTGGCCAGAAGCAGTTTGTGTTTGCCTAATTAATTTGAAAAGCACTTCTGAGCAGCAATTAGTGTTTGGCCAAGCTTTAAAAAACTACTTCTAAATGTATTTTTGAAGCTACTTTTTTCTGATTCTGCTTCTCCTCAAAAACACTTTTTTTCCTTTCAAAAGTTTGGCCAAACACCTCCACTTTTGGCCAAAAAGAAGTTGGCCAAACAGACTAAGTTTCCTTATGACTCTTTTTTCACTATTAGCTAGCATTTGGCCATATATTTTTAAATTTGTTTTGAAAATTTTGATTTGGGTGAAGTTTGGTGTAAAAATGAAAATGTGTTTGGATATCAGTTTTCAAAACATATTTCACTTTTAAAAAAAAAACATGAAACATGACTTATACCCACAAATTCTAAAAACTATCACAAATACCTAGCAGTACCTCCATCAATAACATTCATTATCGTTATCACAAACCATAGTCCTGAACATAAATAAAATTGGTACAAAATTATCAATTTTTATAACGAACTACATAATACACTATTAGATGACCGAGAAGACGAAACATCATTGTTACAAAATAATAAATTGTGGGCTCTTTTATAAAATACGAAAGTTTGGGATAATTTTTTAAAAATATACTTAATAATAATATTTTGGGCCAAAACCATCTTTTGAGCTGGTTTTAAGATTTGGGTTCTGGAAATTTTGCCAAAATATGGATAAACTTTATGAACAAACATGTATTTGCAAAAAAGAAAAAAAGGAAAAAAATTTGGCAAAATCTATGACCAAAGGGTCCTTATTGATTCAACTCATTTGGTCAACATTACTATAAGTCACATGATTGTAATAGAATTAGAGTTGTTTTTTGATAATTAATAGAATTAGAGATGTTAATGATCGAGGACCCTTAACTATTCAATAGTACAGGGTGGCCTTTGAATAGCGTATTGCAGGATTTTTGTTCTCACTGAAAGGCATAAACCTAGTGCTGAAAACCAAATAATTTATTCAAAAAATTAAAAATTAGATTTAAATACATGTTATTTAACTATGGTTAAGTGTTAAATATATGAAAGTTCATATTTTATTCATTGATTTGGTGGAAACATCGAATGTAGGTAAATTTTTATGGTCTATCCTATGCGTTATTTCTCTTTCTCGGGTTTTCTCGGATTATATGTCGCCATTGCTACTCAACCTCCTTGCTAGTTTGTATATCTCTATATCCTATGTGGATTAGATTAATTGATCGATATATCAACAAAAATAAGAGTAATTTCGACTAGTTACAAATTTTAACATTTTACCAATATGATCGATAACCATCGTAGTGCATTACTAGAAGAACAATATCAATTTAGATTAGGCTAGTTAGTATATATATATAAAAAAAAAATTTAGAAAATTTATATATATATAATTTATTTATTTTAGAAAATTTCCAAGAAAATCGACTGCTGCTATCCTTCGTGTACGTATTGGTTAACCTGCCCATTGTGCCATAGCTTGTAATGTAAATCTCACTAGGCAAGTCTGGTGTGACGAGCTCTAACCAAGAAGGCTACTGGTGAGGGGAATCGATCACAGGTCCCATATGAGAAACCACTCGCCCAACCAACTCAATTATCTGTCTCCTAATTCATTTTACTCTTAATAGTTTCAACTTATAATAATGTACTGTCCATAAAATACTGACATGACACCACTTTCCCTACTGAGAAGTTGAAGATAATAACTCATCTATTTTATGTGGACGTGGAGATTATGAAAAAGAAAGAAATAAAAAAATTTGNTGTGGGTGTGGGTGTATTGGAAGTTTGAATTGGTCAGTATTTGGACCTTGTTCACTAAATCATTTTTCACTTGAAAAAAGATTATGACCAAAGACTGGTCTACTAAGAAAAACTCGTTTTCCACAGTCAACTTTCAAACTATATTCCACTTCACCATTCCCTTTTTGAGTATTTTTTTTTTTTCCACATTACCTTTTTCTTTTCACCTTCTCTTTTAAATATAAGCTGCTTCTACTCTCTACTTTCATCATCATTTTTCCAAAATTTCATGCACCAAACTTCACAAAATATTTTCAGAAACTTCTCTTTTCCTTCTTCAGAAACTTCTAATATTCACTACATTTATTTATGTAACCATAAACACCTGATTTTTCCCTGCATTTTTTCAAGATTGTGTTTTTACTAATTTTAACTCAAGAAAACAAGAAAATGGATTGTGGTTTCAATTGGGAATACAATTCATTAATCAATGAATTAATACAAGGGATGGAACATACTAAACAACTTAGAGCTTATTTCAGCTCTACAGTTTCTTCTGATAAAATTCAAGAATTGCATTTACATATGCAAATTATTCTTTCTTCATTTGAGAATTCTCTGTCAATTCTCAAATGGACTGATTCAATAACACAAACCCCACAAGTTGTAGTAGCTCCTCCACCTTCTATTTCTGTTGATGAAATTAGTCCTAAAACTGATGACTTGAATGGAAATTTCAAAGATAATGATCAAGACCTGAGATATGTTTCAAAGAAGAGGTTAGACTTAGATTATGTTTTGTATTCAAAAATTTAGTTACAAAAATGTGATGGTTAGTTCATTTTTTTCAAGCTAAAATGACTTGATTTTTTATGGTTATTTGTAGAAAACAGTTGCCAACATGGACAGAACAAGTCAGAGTTAGTGCAGAAAATGGATTTGAAGGGCCTACTGATGATGGATATAGTTGGAGAAAGTATGGACAAAAAGACATTCTTGGTGCTAAATATCCCAGGTATCAACTTTTTAAACATTCTAGATTAAAATTGAAAATTTTAACTCAAAATTTCAATTTTTCTTGTACCTTTTTAGTAATTCTCTCTTGTTGAGCTGTCAAAACGGACTCGTCCAACTCAACCTAGCCCTGACGGGCCATGTAATACGATATCGGGCCGGCTCTTCATTTAAATGGCCTTGAAAATGCCAGCTCAGCCCAACCTCAAGGGTCAGCGGATCGGGAAAAATTAAAAAATAGCCAGATTTACTACTCATAATTAAAAAATAGCCACAATTTCAAAAGCAATCGAAATTTTATCACTTTTTCATGTAAAGATAAAATCTGAACCAAAACATCCTTAAAATATGGAAAAATTCCAGCATAATATGGTGGAGTTCAAATTTTTTACATGAGTACATAATGTGCTGGAATTTCATAATGTCCTAGAGTTCCAACATAATATACTGGAAGTTGATACGCAAGAGCTCCATAATTTAGCATGCTGAAAACTTTCCGTGTGCTGGAGTTCCAATATAATATGTTGGAACTATAAGAGCTAGCCAGTTTTCATGCCATTTACGAATTGACTTGAGTTAGTCCTAAGCCTCATAGTTATATGAGTCCAAAAGATCTTAGCCAACTATGCTCGAGTAACGGCTTGGGTTGTGTAGCCTGATACAGCCTCTTGTAGAAATGTAGGGTAAGGCTGCGAATAGACCCTTGTGGTGCAGCGCTTCCTCGAACCCCGCGCATAGCAGGAGCTTACTACACCAAGCTGCCCTTTTAGTATCCTTTGTACTAATGACAAGATTTCATGTTTGCAGGAGTTACTACAGATGCACATATAGACTAATGCAAAACTGTTGGGCAACAAAGCAAGTGCAGAGATCTGATGATGATCCTGCACTATTTGAAATCACATACAAAGGTTCACATACTTGCAACCAAGCATTTAACTCTGCTGCACAACCAACATCACCAGAGAAACATGAATTCAAGAAACAAGCCAACAATCCAAAAATAGTACAATCAAACCAGATGCTCGCGAACTTACAAGCAAATTTGAGAGTGAATACTAATGACTTGAACAAGAAAGAGACAACATGTTCCTTCCCATTTTCACCTACATTCTCTGGTTTCGTAGACGAAAACCTGCATTTTCAAGTGTCTCAAGTTGATGACAATTTGGTAGGAGGTTATTCGCCGTCATTCGTCTCTCCTACAACCCCAGAATCAAGCTACTTCTCATTACCTAGCTGCCAAATGAATGGTTCGCGACGAATTCACAGCTTACACCATTCAGAATCAGATCTTCCTGATTTATTCTCTGCCAACACTTCATCAACAAGCTCTCCAATTGTTGGCTTGGAGTTTCCACTTGAACATGTGGAGTTAGATCCAAATTTCCCATTTGATAACTCAGAGTTTTTCAGATAAACTCAAATTAGTAATGTCAAAAAGGAACAATAAAGAGGAAAAGTTGGGTTTTTGATCACTAAATCAACTCATTAAGGTTGATGATTTCTTCCTTTTGGAAGTAGTAGTATAGACGTTTTTGTATAAATTAACAAGAACTATAGTATTTGTATCAATATAGCTTAGTATTTTTGAGCTTCCAGTCATCTGACATCAAGCTACTGAGTGAAACTCAAGAACATTCTAGCAGAAACACTTGAATATTCATCAATATATTTGCAAATAAGAATAGAATTTGACACCAAGTAGAATAAAATTGTTTAAAGCAACAAGAAGGCTAAAAAAAGATTTAAAACAAGAGAATAGTGGTGACTAGAAGTAGTTCTACAATGCTTTTTCATGGGTGGCATCATTGTTTGCAAGTGGCAACGGAAAATCATAGGTGGATGTAGTCTTTTGGCTATGAGTTCATACAAACCAGAATTTTTAACGCGGAATATATATATGTAAAAATCTATTAAGTTCTCAATAAATATTAGTCATGAACCCAAAATTTCAACAGTACAATGAGTTTAGTGCAGGATTGAACCTGATTGAACCTCTTAAGTTTAAATCTTGGATCCGCCTCTATAGAAAACACTTCATATGGGCAACTATCCAATTGTTGAAGCCCACCAACATTAATTCTTCTCCCCAGGGGCGAAGCTACATGTTTTGAAGGGTGGTCAACTGACCACCCTTCGTTGGAAAATTACACTGCGTATATATGTAAAATATTATATTTTAGAGGCATATAACGTATATTGAACACTCTTTATCGGAGAATTTTTTTCACTTCTTTCAAGTTTGAATACCCTTGAGTAAATTCCTGACTTTGTCACTGCTTCTCCCTCCCATTAACATGCAAATGACCACTCCTGAGGGTCGTTTGGTTGGAAACAAGTTATCCCAAAATTAATTATCCTGGATTAGTTATTCCACCTTTCCATAAGGATAAAAAAACACTACAATCCCGGGATTAATTATACCGTAATTTTATCCCAACCTAAAATGAGATAAACTCATCTCAAATTTAATTCCGGGATTAATTCTCCCTTATCCTTCGTACCAAACAAGCCCTTATGGTGTCAATTTTGATATTCTCTAGACTATGAGTAGATTTGGTATTATTCAAATAGAAAAAAATGGATATAGAAACATATATACCAACTCCAATCTGTATTAAGATTAAACTTTAAAGCCTAGTTGATCAATCAATTGATTAATTAACTGCATATAGTTTTAGTTAAGCATCTAGCGATGGAAACTAAGTATAAAGATTGCATATTGCAGAGTAGCTTAATTTCAGCTCGGACATCAGTAAGATGCAATCAGACAAACAAGGCTTATGCTGCCTGCCCAAATAGTCAAATTGGATATGAATAATAATAGTAAATAACCTGTACGCCAATTTTCCATACTAAAACAATGGGCTCAAACAAGTTTTTGATGTGAGATAAACAGTCATATTGGGAATTTCCATATAACCACTTGCCACAATCTCTTTACGGAAAACCACTTACAATGCAAGAGTTGAAGCCTATGTTATCCACCCACAGAAACAGTCAAAGCAGGGACTCGCTTAGCTTTACAAAATGATATGCGTAGTGGCCAATTGGTAACGTCGATAACCACCAGAGAATCTTGTGTTTTACTGGGTTCTTGCCTCTTGTTCAAGCAGCCTAGCTTGTGGGCTCTAATACCGCTTGTTCATGCCAAACCCCATTCAAGTCAGACTGCCACAAGCGAACTACATCATCGCTTCCAGTAGTAGCAAGTGTCATCCCGCTCATGTCCCATTCCATCTGCCATACCTGCATGACAAAAAATCAAATATGGTATATAATAAAATGTGTAAATTAGTCTCTTGCTAGTCAAAGTTTACCCTACCAAAAAACTCAGAATAGATAACTACAAGTGACTCTACTAAATTGAGGTTAAAACATTAATTGATTTACAAGGGAACAGTTAAACTAAAGAGTGTGCACTAGGTACCTCGCTGTCATGAGTAGAGTGTGTGGCAACCTTCTCCACCGAGAGCCTTCCATCGGGGTCAGGATTTGATCCAACATGCCATATTGCAATTTCCTTGAAAGTAGAAACTGCTATTAACTCGTACGGCCTGAAAAAGGAAGCTTCTAAGTTAGAAAGTGCATCCAACAAACTGAACAGATAAGTTTTTCTTTGCATTGCAGGACTTCAGAAACCACCCGTGAATTCTAGCACTGAGCAATTTTAAGCCTCTTAATCATTGAACTATTATAACTTCCTCTCAGCCAACAGTTTACTTCAGTGTATAGCATCTGCATTTTTATAATAAACAAAAAGAAGCAGACATTGTACACTCAACTAAATAGTTCTGAGGAAGTCATAATTATTCAATTAGTAAGATCTGCATCATATATGCCTTAAATGTGCACAGACATCTGCCTGTGGGTTAAGCACAGTATGTACAATGGAAATCCCTTACTCGTTCTGATTAATGGTGGATCTTTCAGGCTAGAAATAACCTTGGCCAAAAAGGAAAGACTACAGAAACATCTTTTGTAAACTCCCTAGTACCACTGCTGACGTTCATATATGCTCTATAAATGATTAACGAAGATGATTTCAAGAGAGAACCTTCCAATATTCGGTGCCCATGCAACAGTAGAGACTGGATCGCCTTTATCTGCAGGTAAAGCTAATTCCGCAACTGGAAGCCATCTCTGATGATCCTGATCGAATTCCCAAACCTGTAGAAATCTATGATATGATAACATTACATATGTCCCACCAGAGACCAAGTATACTAGCAGCCTTTTAAGACCATACTGCATGATAGCAGCTTAAGATTTCAAGAATTGCCTCTTCCGACTTTATGAATGCCCAAAAAATACATATAAGTTGCATAACTAGCTTTACTCTTCATAAAAAAAAAATAGCTTAACCTTTACTCATAATCAACAAGAATCAGAATGCAATAAATGCACTGCCAAGTTTTAACTAATGAAGAAAAACTTTGTAAATAGAACCAATTAAGGATTTTAGAACGCAACCCTTAAAGTAACATAAAGAAAGGAACTCGACATACCTTGGAGGAGTTCATTTGTGGCATGTCGGAATTAAAACCCAAAACAAAGCTTGATTGCTGAATTTCTCCTTTTAAAGGATTCCAAGCAATAGAAGCAGATCGGCATGAGACGTTTCCAAATTTAGATACAGATTCAATGACATTCTGAAATTCAGCCTACAGAAAGAGGACTAAAAGTTAGCCTCTGCAATTTTCAGTAACATATATAATGTGTCATCTACAAGATGTAGTCAAAAGAGCTTACAATGCTATCTATATAGGATAACCAGCTCAAGAAGGTAACAGAAATTAAGAATTAAGAAAGTACACCATGAAGAAAAGAGCAAAGACATGGGGAGCTTGCTGAGGATATTATTATAATACACATTACGGTAATGGTTGGTGACCAGCAAACCACACAACAATAGGGCACACCAAGCTTTGGTGCCAAAGAACCACCAGTAGAATTTGGAATTTGTACAATTGCCAAAAATAAGCAGAATAACACTATTCCTCTGATTCGGTTGGAGCTCTCAATCCAAAATTAAACAAAGATCATTTTTTAGAGAGCATGATCAAAACCACGACTAGGAAGTGAATGTTGATATGTGACCAAATAACAAGATGAAAGGTGATTGCCGTATTTTCCAGAGTTTGGTTAGAACAAGTTCTTTTCTGGAAAGGAAAGCAGACATAGATGATAATATACCTGTAGCTGCCAGTTCTTCAATTCAAATGGATCTAGGAGCTCAAACACTTTTACTTGGCCATCTGAATATGCGGCAACCTATGGGAAATAAAATAATGATGTGTCATCAAAATGACTCTGTGTATTCATACTCGCTAAAAGCTAATGACAGAAAACCAAGAGTCACTGGATCAAGCAGATTGATCTCAACATTGCCTATCCAGTGAAATAGAAGAAAAAATGAGAAACATAACATCAGATAAAGGCCCCATAAATGTTTTGCGACTAAAATAAAGCAAGACTACAATGTACATTTATACATTGACCGCTCTGCTTTATAACCTTCCTCAATGAGGATCCCCACCTAACACATTTAAGTGGCTTTTATAACACTTCGGCATCTCATATTGTCAATTATAAAAAGCAAGCAAACCAAACAAATTCACTTGTAGCTAAAACGAGAAACAGCAGCTGTACACCAATAGAGCTTTGGTGCACCAGCCAATTGTTTTTCCTCTCCTCTATCATGTATCCAAGCAATATAAGCTTCTTTTTCATCTTGTACTTTAGATCTGTGCAAAACCCTTTCTACCAAATACTAAAACTTCAATAAACAGTAGAGTGGAGCTGATCCCTCCCTATAACTGACCTTCAGATTGCTTCTGAATTGTCCAAAATTGCTATTAGTCACCTTCCCTTCAGGTATACATGTCATTGAGGTGCATAACTCATAAAACCGTAAGATTACACATAAAACAATTGTTAAGTCTAAAAGTAACTATGTTAGACAATTATCCAAAAATAAAAACCAAAAGAACGAGAGAGAGGGACAGGAAGTTACAGGCAACCCCTCTCCTCCTCTTCTTAGACTGAGAAATACAAAAGAATTTTAAGAGGAAGCCAGATTTTCTGAAGAATGACATGGAAGACCAGACTCTTTCCTATCGCTCCAAAATAAGTACCTAAGAAGAGCGCAAGCCAAATTTGCAAATTAGACACAACTTACTTCTTGAAAAACCAAGTTTAATGGAACATATAAAAAGGAAGATATTTGTAATGCTTGAATCTAAACATATGATGAATTTAATCCATGAATTATAGAGTAGAAACAAAATGCTGATAAGTATTAAAACACCAAATGTTTCTCCCACCGAGAAAGAGGAATGCTGGAGTAGTCTTAGAGATCTTTCCTAGAACATCAAAAAGGAAAGAGAAAAAAACTTGGGAATACTTTTAACTTAGTACCAATGTGATCTTGTTCAAGAGAGCAATTTTTTCCCTTTTATTCTAGACAATTCTTAGAGCCAAATAACAAAAAACAGTGATTAATTAGTATTAACCTATAGTTGCGTTATGTGCCTCCTAATCAATAGCTTGAAGAACTCTCTCAAGTATCTCAAGCAGATTATGACAGAGTTTTACT